GGCGATGACCGGCCACTGTCCCAACACGGGATGCTGGAGCTGCGAGCAAACGAGGGCAGCACACAGAAACCCCAGCTGCACACAGGCCCCCGCCGTGGAAGCTCACAGGAGAGAAAAGCCAGCTTAAAAGCCAAAACACGCAGGCAAGGTGCTGCATTTGCACAGGGGCTGGCACAACAGCTCCTCTACGAGACACCGGCCCGGCTCTCCAGCCCCCACAGTTATTTATGAACTGCGAGGGCTTGCAGCCACAGCACCGCCCTCCAGCCCTCCTGCCAACACACTTTGCCAATGGGCACAATCATTTTTGCAAGAGCGCTGCTAGCAGATCCTGGGCTGTAAGGCTGGTCCAAGCGCCACTGGGGCAGCAGCAGCCCCCAGGCAGACACGTCCGCACCAGCCTTCCTCCACCCTCCTCCGCCAGCTGCAAGGTGGGCAGAGCCCCAGCCAGCATCCACAGGGGCGGCTCTGCTATCCCGCCAGGCAGCCAAGATGGCTCGATCCCAGCAATCCACGAGGCTCAGCCAAAACCAAAAAATAATGTTTTCATACTTTGACTTTTCAGGCAGGATTTAGTCATTTGTGGACACGAGGGCTTGGCAGGACCGCGCTGCCTCCACTTACCTACTCCAGTAAGCAGCTGTTTGTGACGGCAGAGCCTTGAAGATGGAAGGAGTGAGAAGACTTGTGATTTAATCCAGGTGAATTATTCCTGCTCTCCTTATGGAGCGTCTAGCTGACGAGAAAGGGGGGGATTCAGCACCCGTGTACGCTCATTCGGCACCCGGTGCATGGCCAGGGACGGACCCGCCGCACAAGACAAGGCGTCGCAACACAACCAACCTCCAATGGCTTCGCAATGAGCTGCCTGGACAAATCCAGCAGGGACTTTTACCCCGTCTACCTAATGGCTAAAAAATTAGTTACAGGCAGAAAAGCCAAACCCTCTCTGAGTACACTTGCTTTAAAGAGGCAGAGTGGCTGAGACCTGGTCTGTCATACTAGAAAAGCAGGTTCCAGCCCTGGCTTTGTAAGGGTTGTACAAGCCCTGTTTGCTTACCCCCACACTGGGGCACTCAGGAGTCTGCCCGACACGGGCAGGGAGACCAGAAGTTAAGCGGTAATTGATACGGGCTCGTGGTGGCTAGCTGGGGGTATCCCTCAGAAATCCTCCGTGCAGTGGATCCTAGGGTTTGGCCCCAAACTGCCCCAGCCGGGGCCTGACGGGCAGGTTACAGAGCCAGCCTAATGCACACGAAGCTTTCAGAAAGGCTGAGAAAATTCAGGTTTAAACAGAAACTGCGTTGGCTGAGGAGTCGGTGCTGCTGTGTCCCCCTGCCCTGGCTTTCCCCCCTCTAGCACCACGTGCTCGGTGCCACCTTTGTGCTCTCCTCCTCCAGGCCGTAGCTCTTCGGGCTCAGAGCAAGACCTCCCCATGTCTCGGGAGCCAGTCTTTGTGTTCGCAATAGCGAGGTTTGCCTCCCTACCCCCCTTTCAAGACCCCTCTCCCACCAAGTCCCTGGGTCCACCCATCCCGTGCTGGAAACCGGAGCATGGAAGAAGAGCCTCCTGCCGATGACCGAGCTTGATGTGCCACCTCCACGCCAGACGAAGATACAGATAATAGCCAAGCTCACCATGCACGCCATGGCTGTCCCATCTCAGAGTCCTGCGGCCCCCCTCTGAAATTCCGTATTTAACGTGGAAAGGGTCTCTGGGTTATTCTCCCCAACCCCAGATACGCAGCCCTGCATCTCCCCACTCTACTTGAGCTCCCAGGCTAGGTCACAAGCGCAGCCGGGTGCCTCCAAGCTCCGGAGAAGAAAGGGATGCAGTTTATCCATCGGGGTTTGCAGGAAAGAACTCGTGGAACTAAGGAGACAGTTTCTGCCATGATGCAACCTTATTCTGCCACCACTGTTACGAGCACCTGTTTGGTTCCTCACCCAGGACCTTACCTTAGTCCTAAAATCACCTTCTAAGCATCCCAAGAGCCTTGGCCATCACTGCTTCAGAGCAAGTCCAGCTCCAAGGAGCGCTAGGGAAGTCACCGCCAAGGCAGGAGACCTTGCTGACAACCCACAATCCTCTGTACACCTCAATACACTCTGCTGGGGCTACAAGCCCAGCTCTGAGCAGCCAGAACAGCCTACAGATCTTCTATAGAGGAGTCAAAGTGCCAAGAGCCCTTGCACTCAGGAGCCAAGGTCTGCTTTAATCTCCTAATTCTTCTTATCGAGTCAACAGTAAGGCGTGCAACTGGTACCATGCAAAGGGCAGAGCCATCTTCACCTTCCAAGGCCTGGCCCACTAGAAAGGATGGACTTCTGTCTCGCAAACATGTCTTCAATGCCTTGCAGGACCAAAGCCACCAAGACACCACGTCTCTCTCTCGGTGTCAACACACGGCCTTGGGCGTGGGATGAGACAAACTGGGAAGGCAGCTTACAAACGCACGAAGGAACCTCCACCAACGGCTCCAGTTTGCAAGAGTGCGGTGGCTCCCAGCATCACAACAGGCAAATGGTTTATCCAGCTGCAGAGCCAAACCACTCTGCAGCATCTGTGGAGGGTGCAGAGATGGGCAGGCTCTGCAGCACATATTCTCTGAAGAATTTAAAAAAAAAAAAAAAAAAAAAAAAAAAAAAAAAAAAAAAAAAAAAAAAAAAAAAAAAAAAAAAAAAAAAAAAAAAAAAAAAAAAAAAAAAAAAAAAAAAAAAAAAAAAAAAAAAAAAAAAAAAAAAAAAAAAAAAAAAAAAAAAAAAAAAAAAAAAAAAAAAAAAAAAAAAAAAAAAAAAAAAAAAAAAAAAAAAAAAAAAAAAAAAAAAAAAAAAAAAAAAAAAAAAAAAAAAAAAAAAAAAAAAAAAAAAAAAAAAAAAAAAAAAAAAAAAAAAAAAAAAAAAAAAAAAAAAAAAAAAAAAAAAAAAAAAAAAAAAAAAAAAAAAAAAAAAAAAAAAAAAAAAAAAAAAAAAAAAAGGGAAATTGCAAGAAGCTACAAGGAGTTTGCCACCACTGTGTCACATGTCTAAGCCTGCTTCTTCTTCTGATGAGCTCTGACGACGGGAGGACACGAGCTGGGAGAAGGACTAGGCTGCAGGAGGGCGGGCAAGGCTCACCACGCGCCGGCACTTCCTCCAAACCCCTAAACAACGCCAGATCTGTTGACGAGACCTTCATTACGGTTAGACAGGGTGCCTCTCTTAAAGAAGATAAACCAAGTCTAATCTAGAGTGCCAGAAGATGCGACAGCAGGAGGAGGAGGGAAAGGGAGAAAAAACTGTCCTGTTCATCTCAGCAAAATATTAGCTCTGGTGCAACTCCCCACCTTAGTGTCAGATTAAAACTTTTCAGGCACGAGCCCAAGGCTTATCTGCTGCTCCCCTCCCTTCTCCCACATTTCTGTTATTAAACCAACTAACACTGCTTATCTACAAATCCTGCCTCTTACACCAGCGAAGCCACACCACGGTTCCTGCAGTGTTGACACTCCGCCGTGTCCCTTTGCTTAAGTAGAGAGCCCAAGGGGATGCCAACAGCTCGCTCCCCACGAACCACGCACTGTCTCTCTTCAAAGCTTATACACTACGCGGGTCCCACCACACGAGCAGCCAGCATCCGCATTTTCACGCGGTGATCAAACCACTCAAAGCATCCCAAAGGGCGAATTTCCGCAGGAGCCTATAGCAAAGCCGGCATGGAGCAAGTCTTCAAGGAAAGGGAGTTATTCCAGAATTGTGCTTCATAACCGAGCGTGGGATAAAGCTTGGAGAGGCACGCAGAATTCACCCAGGCAGCGCACAGATCAGCAACAAACCCATTAAGCCCTGGCCACTGGCAAGAGAAGTTCTTCGCCGAGGAGCCTCTGTGCCCTCCAGGCAGACTCCACACAGCAGTTGTACAGCTGTCCCGAATTTGAAAGACAGATAAGGCTCAAATGATTCATTCAGCGTAAACCTTTATTTGTTCTTGCTTACCCAGAAGGAGCCAGCAGCTGCTAATGCTAAACTGGGCCAGCTCCCAAGCGCAGACAAAGGCCTGCAAAAATGGGTTTAAGGAGGAACTGATTGTTCAAAAAGCAATCCTAGAAGAGGGAGTTAGAAAGAGGGAGTGCAGTACAGCACAAGAGGAAGAGGAAGCCAGAGAGCACCTAAAAATAAATTTTAAAAAAAGCAGTCAGGCACAGGACAAAGGCCTCGTCTGCACGTGACCGTTACCCACAGTGTAGGCAGGATGTGAACTTGGTACACAACACTCACTCCCCAGCAACCCCACGTACAGAGCCTCAACCACCTCACAGCACACAGCAAAAACCACGGCCAGCACCTTTCGCCCCCAGGACGGGCTCATTTCTCCTGTGCCATAAATCCCTCAGGTGCAGGATGCTGCTCCTGCCCATGCCCTAACCCCAGCACGCTGTGCCTGATCCACTCCTGGGTGGAAATCCATCTAAGCCCAGCAGAGCTGGCATCAGACAGCTTCAACAATAGTTTGAAAAAGTTAAAGGAATTTAAATGAAGTCTGGAAAACAAGATCTCTTCCCAAACACACTGTCAAAAATAGCTGAGTCCTGCTGAAGGACTAGCGAGGGGCCCCTCTGCATCCATCTAGGCAGTACCTTCATCAGATCTGAGCAAGAGCGGGTGGGTAAATGGTGAGTTCCCAATGAAACAGCCAGAAATGGCTGAGCAGATAACAGATGAGCCTGCCCTGTGCTTGCCGGTACAACGGGGACTGATGCTGTCTGCTCCTCTCCTGTGGCTACGAGCTGGGACCCTGCGTACAGGCGGATCAAAACCACAAAGCCCTTAACCTGCCCCAGTGGTGGCTGTGTCCACCAGACGCAGATTAGAGCTTCGGTTCAGGCCCATGTGCGAACCATTCTCCATGTGCCGTACAGAAGGATGCTCTCGTGTACACCTTTGGCCAGACCACCCGACTAGTCAGGATTCACACCCGTGCAAGGAAGGAAAAAGTCCCACAGGGATGGGAAAGGCACTTACAGGACGGGCTGAACATCAGCGCAGCAGGTATCTTCAGCCTTGGTGCAACACTCTGAGAACATCCAGCTAGTTCCACTCCCAGGAAGCCACCGCTCCGCATCCCACATTCACTTCTACTTCACTCCTGCCATGCACGTATCTGGTCATCAGTGCAGCAGTAAGATGCATCTGATAAGGCTGCTCGTAGATGGGTCAGATGCAATACGCCACTTAACAGACTCTCTTATACTGAGTCATCCCGTCTCCTGAGCCGTCTGCCTCCTCCGGAGTACGTACCAGCTCCGGCAACTCTTACTTCGTACTCACAGACATGTGGCTCTCTTTTTGTGCACACAAGTCTGAGGCTGCTGGGTAGGGCTCTGCCCAAGCCGTCCCTTCAAAGCTGCCATGAAACGCAAACAAAACTCCTGCATGGCATAAGTTTGCTAGTCTTTACCCTACGGTCCTTGAACTCATGACTACTGAGTAACGCGGCTTGCTCAGCTAACCAGCAAGCTAAGAATAGAGACCTTGAAGTGAAACCTACTGGGATTGGCAGCTATTTTGAGCGCACTCAGCCGGCGGGGCAGCGTGACATAAGAGGATATAAAGAGGAAACTCTGCACAACAACTCTCACCTCACCAAGAAAGATTTGGGTAACAGAAGGTAGAGCCACCGCGCGTGCTTTTGAGGCAAAGTAAACGCTGTGATAAATCCCCAAGTCCATCTCCACACTGCTGTGCCAGCTCATTCCTCCAGTTCCTCCAAAACCCAAGACACAGCATCGGTGTTTGCAGCAGCATGATACCAAGTGGGTCGTCCCCGGCACAGCACCAGCTCCGCGGTGCCCCGAGCATCCCCAGGACCAGCTGAACACCCCAAGAACCGTACAGCTGGACCCCAACGGGCACCAGCCCAGCACGGCCATTGCTTCTGCCCGCCTGGGATCCGGCAAAACCCCAGCAGACCGCCTCCCGTGCTGCCCGCACCTCTGCCACGCAGCCCACGTTGAGCAGAGCGTGTTGCCACAGGTTCAGCCTGCCCAGGCACCTTCGTGGAGCAGGGCTGCCGGAGATAACTGCTGCGACCAAGCACTCACACGTGGCCGAGCCGAGCCTTAAAGGAAGCCAACACGACCAAAGCCAACAGAGAGGACCCACAAACCCCAAACCTTGTCTTTGCTTTCTAACCTCAAGCAGACCCTTGCAGCTCTTCAGTGTAGCACACCCTTAGAAGAAAGGGTTGCGATCGTGCCCATTCGCCAGATGTGTTTAGGAAAGATCTGGTCTCAGTTAGCAACCAACATTAAGGTTAATGTAGGGAAATTTAAATGGCAATACTTGGAGTGTATTTGATTTCAACCCTTAAATACTGGGAAAACAAACATACAAGCTACGGTTTCTGGAAATCAAACTCACCACCTGAAACCGGTCCCTGCAGCAGCTCTCTGCCAGTTCATAGTGCATCCACCTCATCAGCATGTGCATTTGAATACTCATGATGCCAGTATATTCTGCCAGCTTACTCAAACCCTAAAAATATATTTTCTACTGTTTTTTGGACAGGAGTAAGTCATAAGCAGGGACTGACAGTCTACAGTGCTACATAACTGAATTCCCCAAACCCACCAGCTTAGTCTGTTATAAAAACATCCTCCAAAACTTACACAGGGCATCCGAGGGAAAACGGCACCTCCAATTCCAGTCGCCATCCAGACAGCAACTGCTTATTAAGGCCTCTGTCAGACTGCCTGTATTAAACCACTGTTTCAAAGAGGCTGAGCACTCTGAATAAAGATCACAAGCCACAGATTTGCTTAACGCTGCAGTTCAATTATTACAGTGGCGTGAGCCAGCGCTGCTGTCCTCTCTGCCCACCCCATGCCAGCAGGTGACAGCCACGTGGCTGCAGGGACCCAGACAAAACCCAACCACCCTGACACTGTGGCAGGGACTGTCCCCCAGCGTGGGGAACCCCTCTTCTGGGACACTGCCACCTCCGGCTGGTGGCAGCTCTGTTCTGCAACCGTGCTGTGGGGACAGAAGTGCCACCAACAAGGGCAGGGAGGATCCAGCCTGTCTCAGCCCCAGCGCAGAGGGAAGCGGCAAGGCCACGAAGGAGGGCAGAGCGCAGGCTCACGAGGAGTGCCCAGTAGTTTCATCAGGCTTCGGTGCATCCCTGAGCCATGGAGAACTGCATCCGCTCTCAGGCTTGGTCTCTGTGGAAGCAATTGTCAAGGGAAATGGACCATACTGCAAGTCTGCCCACCAGCACCTCCACACCTTCACTTGGGGACCCCTCTACTGCTGCAGCGAGGTGTTGGTGCCGTCTTGGAAGAAGGAAAAGAAGGAGGCAGGCATGATCCTGAGCTCAGCAGAAGCCAGGAGATGACCCCCAAGAGAAGCAGAGGCTCCTGCATCCAGGTGCTCTGTAGTGTCTGCAGAAACAGTCAACCCTCCATCCTCAACAGCCCTGGGGCAGCAAGGAGCCATGTGCCAGTCCCTGCCTCAGCCCTGGGACAAGGACAGCAAGGCCAGAGGACCAAGGGTGAGCCCACACGGATGGCAGAAAGGACATGGCAAAACCTGGGTCTGAGCAAAGCAAGGGAAGTGGTAGAATGGAGCTTCTCCTCTGCTCTGGGCTGTCAAGGGGAGGGAAGGAGCAGGGACACACTCCCACCCCAGAGACAGCCTCTCTGCTGTGAGTATTCCCACCCTACAGCCACTAGAAGATAATACTGGAAAGCGGACACTTTCACTGGCCTCTTAAGTGTTGCTGAAGGCAGCTAGATGAAGAAAAGAGTCTATGGCAGGAACAGAAGAGACTGTTTTCACTTGGTAGTTGCACCCTCAGGCTACGTATGGAAACATATCCTCTGCAACGTAAGCGCATCAAGCCGTGAGCAAACCTGGAGAATTTACATAAGCCTTGAAGTTTAGGATACGCATAAAGGAAGAAATTCAGAGAGCAATCCTCACTTTGTCTTGAGCGATCGCTAGGAAGTGACATTCTCCACATTTTCTGTGCTGCCCAAGGCTTTGCTCTTACACAACAGCGGCTTTTGAAAAAGCAGCCTCAGCATCAACTCTGTTTTCCCCTCCCTTGCTTAAGAGATTCGACTTCCGTGAAGGCTCAAGAACATCCCCCAGTGAACCGCTCCCAGCACCACATCCCAACTCCTTCCTGCAGCCCTGCAGCATCAGGGAGTCCACTCCTCCCCAGAGGCTGCCCCGGTGCCCCGCTTCCACCCTCCGTGGAGCTGAACTCCAAGGCACTTGCAGGACTGCAGGATGCTCCGGAGGCTCTTTGGACACGCTGCTCTCTTTTGGAGAAGCAGATGACCCAAGCGACAGGCTGATATCCTTCCAGCTACAACTGGAACACAAACCCGATCAGGACACCTTCCTATTTTATTTCTGTCAACGCCTACCACACTCCTTGCAGAGGGGGAGCTGCGGGAGAACTGGGTGTACTCGAGTAAAAGGGAAGGTGGAGAAAGGAAATAAAAGAGGCAAAGCAGGAGAGGAAGGTGGGAGAGCAGATGGATGAAAAGTCCAGGATCACCTAACGTGACCCAATGAATCAGTACGGGCGAGAGCAATCTTGTCAAGAAGCCCAAATGCACCGGGAAGCCCTACCTGCTTATTTCGTGCCTTATAACATCAACTGAGTCATTTCTAAAATAAGCAAAGGTTTGGGTCTTGGTTTTGAGGTATTACTTTAGGATAGCTGCAGTAAACCAGTAGGGCTTTTTTGATCCTAAGTTACACACTGCGATGCACAAACAGCCCAGAAGAGCAATCAGCTAACAGTGCCAAAAGCTAGGAGCCACGTACGGCCGGCAGCGACTCCCGCTGCTGTCCCACTCGCCGGGTAAATGCTGGGAGGATGCTCCAGGCAGGCACCACTGACGGAGACACCCTGCACATGTGAAAAATTTCTCCATCAAGAGAAATGAGTTTCTTCTGGAGGCCAGTGTGAGAGAGACTCAGTTTCCAGCTCTTCCCCCAACTACTGTATCTCCTTCCTCCTGCTCCCTACCTTTGGCACCCACCTTTCCAGCGCAGAGCCTCCGTCCCCCTGAAACACACGCCGTCATTTACTGTGGCACAGAGAGGCCACGGAGTGAGCGTGACCGCGCGCCAGGCCAGGAGCAGTGTTTGTTTTGCACTGATGCGAGCAGTATTTTGATCCAACTGTGCGATGCAACCCCATGGAAGAGCTAATTCTCCTGCTGGCATGCGTTCCTACTCCTGCATACAAACACCTCATGGGATGAAGCCTAACGTATCCGCCTGTGAGCGAGCGGTGCGGTTTGCTACTGTGCTGAGGTGCAAAAATCCAGCCAGCCACCGAGGAAGACTCCATCCTTAGAGACACCTTCATAATTCTTGCACTGACAATAGAGAGCACCATCCACCACACTTAGCCTCGAACGTGGATGGACTAAACTTTTAGGATGAGGGAAGACAGAGATACACACGATGGATGTGCTAAGGTGTTGAAGTGTAACAGGTAACCGCTATCTTGCTCCAGCCCCTCCTGGGGGCCAGGACCTCCGTGGAGATCCTCACTTAGGACATTCCCTCCCTGCTTAAGACCTCTCTGGGTGACAGCGTAGCACTGACTCAAGGCTCTTTCCTCAGCATCCTCAGATATTGCCCAACAGGGATCACAGTGACACGGACATATGGCACTCATACCAACTCTGCCACCTCATCGACTCGCTTACGGGCACTTCTGCATCATGCTGAGCATTCACTGCCTTCAGCCCCTCTCTGCCAAGGGCTGATGTGCCTTGGCATGAATTCCTCCTCCAAGGTGAGTCTGGGGAATTTCCAAAGTCAGTTCAACAAGCGCTTGGGCTCCGTTTGCTATTTATAGTTTGACAACTGGGACAATGCCACCCAAGCATACCAGCTTCGCTTGCTCTGGCTAAACTCAAACCCAAACGATGGAATCCTGCACAACATACAGCAGCCTCAGAGCTGCCTAAATTCAGCACGCATTCATTCAGTGTTAGCAACTGCTGCTATATCTGGAAGACAGTTTCAAGGGAAGACAGAGCTCTCCAAGGCAGAGAAAGAAAACAAATCCTTTGCATACATTCTGCAGGACAGCACTGCTCTCCTAAACTTCCTCGGCTTGGTTTAACAAGACCCAAGTTTTTCTGCTAAAAAGTCAACATTAGCAGCGCTAGCAACTCACACCGCACCCCACCAGCCCTTGCACGCCTCCTGGACACTGTACATCCCCACGAAAGCTTCACGACACCGTCACGTCGTACAGCAAATGTACCAACTCAGACCTTCTTTGATTGACAAAATTACCCCTAACACACGTCAGGCCCAGCCCTGCTCTTCGAGGGAAGGCAATTCAGCAGAGCAGCCCGTATACGTCCAAAGAGGTGGGAGCGGGGTGGCCA